AGGGTGTAAACCTTGGACCAAGTGTATTTTATAAGGATAATATTTATTGTCTTTTAATATTCTTTGGATGTCACTTTTGCTTATTCCAATTTCGAGTGCCAAATATCTGATAGAAACATGTGGATTTACATGAACGTAAGCCAAAACGTGTATAATATTTTCTTAATGTCTGATCATTCTGTTGTGTCCTCCTTGATGTTAACCGTCAGGAAAATGTCCATGTCTAAGACTTCTTTCTAAATTGGAAAACGTTCTAACTTAGGGAATTGTTCTATTCGAAAAAACGTTCATAGTTTAATTGTCTAGCTTGTCTTGAGTTCTTGCGACATTCGCCGTAAATAATTATCATATCGGTATACTCATTGGAACTAAACACAGTAGGCATTTTGAAATAATTTGTTAGGACTTGTCAAACTCTAAATTATTGCAAACTTTATCAAGTAAAAACTGCTAATTTTATTGAGTATTTAAGCTGCACTTCTGTTTGACAAGAGATAGATTGATATTATATCACAGAATACTTTTACAGAAGCGAAGGCATGTCAATTTTTGGGGTCCAAATTTTTTTGCGCATGATCAGGGCCGCCATTTTATAACCGACAAAACTGTCATGTGCGAGTGTTGTTTTTATGCATCCAGAATCAGTAATTTGTAATTTGCGATTTTTTTATCTAATTTAGTGTGTTTGTATATTTTTTAACCATTATTGAGTAAATTTGTGTTTGTGTTTAGTATTTTCCTTTGTCTATTTTATGAACATTGTTTAGTAAACCTGTTTTTAATTGAAGATTTTTTGTGTGGTATGTGCTGAGCCATTCACACATTTTTATTTGTTTTATTAAATCAAAATAATTTTTTAGTGTTCTAATGGAATCTACAAGAAAGATGCTTATCGCCCATGTTCACCTCGAATGGATTTGAATACCAGTTATTTTTCATTTCCCAAAGTTTCAGAAAGGTATGCAAAATAAATTATTCAATCTAACTGAAGAAAACTGATTGCTCTACGTAACAAATAATTTAAATGTTGATCCAGATTTGCAAATTTCTAACATTTTGTTAACTGTATTATTTATTCGGCTATTTAATCAAAATATAATTATTTTAGTATATTTTGTATTTTTTAGAGCTGCCATGTGGTTAAGAGCATGTAATCGAGGAGACTTGATTAATATACCCACTGTAGAATTACACAAAAACTACCAGTTGTGTGAAAAACATTTCCAGTCCAGTAGTTTTTCAGTTGGATCAACTCCGAAACATTTATTTGAAAATGTACTTCCGACAATATTCTGGCACACACCCGCAACAAATGAAAACATTGATGTGGGAGAAACAATTATTGTTCTGAATGAATCTGTGCCCTCAATACCTACTACTAAATCATACAACGATTTTCTCAGTACACCAGGTATTAAAAATAATATAAAAGTTTTTATTTTGTAAATTTTAATATTTTGTTAGGTCCCAGCAAAACAACAGCTCATTTTGAGAGTGAACGAGAGATTGGTGTTGTTATCTCTGACGATTTTTCCACTTACCAGGTATTAAAAATAATATAACAGTTGTTTTTATTATTTTGTAAATTTAAATATTTGTTTAGGTCCCAGCAAAACAACTCATTTTGAGAGTGAACAAAAGATTGATGTTGCTAGGTTTGACGATTTTTTAAGCCTACCAGGTATTCAAAAAAATATAAAAGTTGTTTTTATTATTTTGTAAATTTTAATATTTTTTTTAGGTTCCAGCAACACAACAGCTTATTTTGAGTGAACGAGAGATTGGTGATGCTACCTCCGACGATTTTGTCAGCCTACCAGGTATTAAAAATAATATAAAAGTGTTGTGTTTATGTATTTTTTTAAATTTAACTATTTTTTTAGGTCCCAGCAAAAATTTTGAAGGTAAAAGAGAGAGTGTTGCTTCTACTGTGATAATGCATGTGCCAGTCCCAAAAATATCTCCGTCGGTTGGGTCACAGACCCCAATGTCATTGAGTGCAATGAGCCCAAGAAAAGAAAAACTTCGAAGGAAATTAAAAGCTGTAAGAAAGGCAAATTGGAAGATTTCTTCTAGTAAATACAGTGGACACCAATGACTGTAAAGATATCTGTGAAAAATTTTTAAACCAACCACTTGCAGATATAGTTAAGGCTCAAGAGGAACTTAAAAACAAAAAGCCTTTAGCTAGAAGATACTCAAGTGAATACAAGCAGTTTGCTCTTACCCTGTATTTTTTAGGACCTAGAGCATATTCTTTTATGTCTAACATTTTGTGCCTACCTAGTAAGCGATGCTTACAAAATATAACTGCAAAATTAGTTACACAGCCAAAAATATATTACTGGACATATGTCTATATAACAATGATTATTCTGTATGAGTTAAGCAAGTCGCCTAATATTTTTAATACTGTATTTTTTTAAGTTTTTTTATTTTTTTATTACTATTACCAACCATGATCTTTTAAATCTTATTTTATTTTAAATTTTGTATGCTATATGTTAATGTATGTAAAATGTTTATTGTTATTACTGAGAATAAAATATTTCTATTTCTATAAAATTGGGGTAATTAACATTAATCTGTAAGTTAGATTGTTTAATTTTTGCATACATGTTAATTTCTACTTTACAAAAAACCAATTACAGAAATTAGCCATTTCAGTATTGTCTCTAAAGGGTTCGTTATTACTTTTTGATATATTTTTTATATTGTTGATTTTATTTATTTTGTCAAAAATAAACGTACTTTACTCTTGAGCAAAATTCATATTTTTTGACAAACCTCGTATACGGCTTGAAAAATTTGATATGTGATGACTGTATTTTAGGTTTTGGGTCATGCAGGACTTTTTATCAAGAACTTTTTTTCCTAAAATCAATAATAAAAATGTTTTCCATATGGTTCCAACTTAAGTAGACACACTGTATATACAACAAATTGTTGATTTATAAACACGCACATCCTAAATCCAGTATGGATTTATGGCATACAGACATGAGGATGTGCCAATTATTGGTGATGATTTTCTATCAACGACTACTAGATTAATTTTGCTTACAAAAATAGAATTGTAAAAAACCACCGAGTTGTCAAATTATTATAAGAGTATGGCGAAAGTCTTATTACAAGTATTGTTTATGGTATTGTCATATCATAAGGCTCTAAAACACAAAAGGCTTTCAAAATTACAGTTTGGAAGTATATTTGCATTTTTAATGCGTTAATTATCAGTTTTATTTATTTTTCTAGTTCCAACTATCATAGTTGAAGGTGTTTTCCAGGAAAGTACATAATTAATTAATACATTAATAAATTGTAATAGAATCACTCTGTTAAAGAGTTAATATATCTAAAAAAACTGATGAATTATAAGTACAAAGAGTATTCGGTCTGGTTCCTCAAGTAAAAACCTTTTTTAGTTTAGCGATCAGTACAATTTACTTCAAAATAAATTATTGTGAAGCTTTATTTTTCTAATTATATCACTAACCTTCAATTCAGAGAAGAAATAGTGGATGTTGCTAAGGGCCGATTCCACCGTTGTGTTAAACGGAGATTGAAATGACATTGTTAATGTAAAAATGTCATTTTAAACTTCGTTTAACATAACGGTGGAATCGGTCCTAAATAAGTTTGTTACATATATATAAATCCTTTTCTCAGTGTATTATCCGAATTTATACGGATCTAGTTCATTTTTACCAGTGTAACAACCGGCAAAAACGTCAACTGTCACCAAGTGTCACTTTAAATTTTGGCCACCCCGACATCAAACGTGCCGACGCATGCCTTCGCTTCTGTAATAGTTATTATTCTGTTCTAATAGCTCGAACTGCCTAAATTTCACTTTGACAAGTAATGACATTTCCAGACATTCCTGGAGTATTCTATCTTCCTTTCTCGTACTTTTACTTATGACGACCGCAGAAAGCTGCAGGGTGCTGCGTACACATACTTTGATTTTACTATACGGAGAATGGTCGCACTGGCTTTCTGAGTGCCTTTTAAAAGGAGATAGAAAACTCCGCCATTTTGACCCCTTATTACGTGTTGCCTACATCTTGGCGCAATATTTTTAATAGGTGCGTTTTAATCATCCGCTTCTGCTTCGGAATTGTCGGTTTTCTTGTTTTAATCTGACAGGTTAAAACGACTAAACCGACAATTCCGGAAGCAGAAGCGGATGATTAAAACGCACCTGATATTTTGCTTGCTGCTGTCAGTGTCAGTGAACATTATTTTTGAAGTCACAGTTTATTGCTAAAGAATCAGTTAGCTCACTCGGACCAGTTGAAAGTTCCAAAATAACATCCACTCCAGGGATACAAATTCAGGATACGCAGAAGACTGCTGTTTTATTATAGGTGATTGTCATATATTGTATTATCCGAGTTGCACAGTGTATAAACTGAAACATTGAGATCCAAAGTGCCGACGCAGAGTGAGCGATCTGATTCTTTAGCTGTAAACTGTGTCACAGGGTTCAAAATGGCCGCGCCCTATGTTGGGCGTGTCGGACCTTTCTCTTGCCTCGTATAGTAATCAAAGTATGTGGCTGCGTAACAATCACTGATCTATACAGATCAGTGATAACAATACGTTATTGACAGTTGTTAACTTAGTTTATGCAACATGGCAAATGTAACCCTAGTTTTTTTAAATTTTTTTATCAATTTTATATATTAAACCTTAATCCATTCAGATGTGTTAAAATTAATAGCTTCTAGCTGTACAATCATGATAAAAAAAATATCATATCATCTGTATGTTTTTTGGTATTAGGTTTATTCGCCCTCCAGTAAAATTTATATTTTGTAGATTACGCCGCTTGTCGATATTCTAGATCTAGATTAACGTTTATAAGAATGCAAAATGCAACTAACAACTGCTGCTAATCCAATCCGCCCCAAATATCTTTTTTACGCATTGTGTGTTTAAATAAAAAAGATAAATATGTAAATATCAGGAATTAAAACAATTAAATTTCAAAGTACCTTTCCTCTCGATTTCTTCAGGTATTTAGACGAGATATAGTCCTCTATTTGAAGGTCCAAATTATTAGGATTAAGGACTGGTTGCTCAGATGGTTTTTGAAGATTCAAGAATTCTAAAATAGTTTGCTTTTCTGTTTCGTATGAACTATCAGCTAATGATCTTCCCTTAGCAGCCAACCTGCAGCATGCCATCCATCTAGCATATTGAGTTTCCTGTAAAACAAATATATTTTAAAATTATGAAAAAAGAATCTTAAAGGTGTTAGGATGTAAGTAAGTACGAGGCAGTAGTCACAATAAGAAGAGCTGACACTTGGCACTCGACAGACAGTTGACATTAGAGGTTAGACATGTAACATGTAATGGAGTGTTGTAATAAAGTAGATAAGTCCAAATTCCAGTTTTATTGCTATCATCCATAAACTAGTTACAAATACCAAACATTATAAAAGGTAGGCCTGCCATGACCTAATTTGTCGACGCCCGACAAAAATCTGAAAAAATTTGACATTTGAGTGACATTTAGTTTTTCCACGGACAGCCTTGACATTTTTTTAAAACAAAAATGAACATTTTCAGCTTTTTATTAATAGACCGGAAGGCGACGGGTAAAAATCGTTCAGAAAAAAATCAAAAGGTGTAACTAAATGCAACCTTTATTTCATCATTCAGTATACATTTCTACATAAGAAATTAAGAATTACATTTTTTATTGGACAAAATAAAATTTACGTAAATGAGTTTTTTAAATTTTGTACTTTGTTGTCATGCGATTCGATTTCTAAGAAAGATACAGTCACCGTTTTACAATATTCTAAAAGCTCTTTTTTCTCTGATCTAAACAATAGCAGTAAAAAGAAATGTTTCAGAATAAAATACAAAAAAAAAGTAAATTAAAAAAATTTGGTGAATCTTCCAATGCTTTTCAACTTTCACTTTGTTTTACACTGCGAAATTTCAAGGTTATCATTTTTGCTCAAATATATACGAGTGTAGGTAAAGTCATTTTTTAACCTATAGCCCTTTAAACAGGTGAATTCGTCTTAAATCCATCTCTAGCGGCCGGAACGAAACGAAAGAATAGTTCTGGCTCGCTTAGAGAAGAAAAGTACCTTCCTCCATTACCATTGCAGTTAGTGCATCGGCCTAGCTAGCCTCAGTTTTCAGGGGGCCGTGGCCCCAGGTGTACATTGGATTAAAATATATATTTTTTTAATTGCGGTGCAATGAATAGTAAAAAATACGCTATAATAGTGAATAGTGGTTTTAATATTTCAATATAACTAATACATTTATTAACTTATAAAGATAACGATTAATATTAAAAGAACTGATTATCTACAGAAGTTTTCTACGCTGTTGACTGAAAGAATCTACAACACTGTCCAAGTCTATATCAACATCTTTTTCTATGAACAACAAAGACAAATCTTAATGTCCGTCTTGAGTCATGGTCGTTTTCAACCATTGCAGAAAACGACCTCTTGCACGTCGCACTTGAAATAGGTAGAATAATTGCAACTTTAAAAAGTTGATAGACGTTTGGGTATGTTTTTTTTCAGATTATGTTATGTGTTTATTGATAGAATCATAACCAACAGTTTCTTTAAAAATCTGATGTGTCCAACACATGACTTTCCTATCTAGTTATCATAGGCTATTTCCGGTTATTTTGTACAACCTATTACAGCACATCTATAAATGTTTAGAGGATAAACTAAATATATACATTTTCCACATACATCTACCTCGAAACATTTTTCTATAGATATTCATTGAAAACGAAAATACTGAAAAATTGAAACATAGCACTTTTCCTACAATTTTTCCATTACGGTCCATTTTAGAAAAATCATGTATAAACAAAAATTATAGAGATCGATATCGCAAACAACTTTTAGTTCAACAATTTTCTTAAAAATCAGAATTTTGCACATTTTATCAAATTTCTCGAATACGGACCATTTCAGGAAAATTTGACATAAAGCTAAAATAATAGATAATAATATTAGAAGTAACTTTTATTTAAACAATTTTCTTCTCCAAACATAAATAACAGATATATTCCATAAAATATAAAAACGGCCTCCCATAAAGTACGCACCCAGATGTTCAGACTTTGTCCAAAATCTAGTCATTTCACGTCAGGCCGAAATAAAACTTAAGTTTAAAATTAAATGTTAACCAGACCGTATGATTTCACTGAGATGAAGACAGAAAAAGAAACAGCGACCTATGGATCTTCAAGATACAGTTTGCATCATTTCTAATAGTGTATATTAGGGATTGCTTCCCTCAACATTTAGTACAAAGACAGTACCTAAATTGGTCCTTCGAGCCGGATATGAACCAGCGACCTATGGATCTTCAAGTTACAGTTTGCATCATTTCTAATAGTGTATATTAGGGGATTGCTTCCCTCAACATTTAGTACAAAGACAGTACAAGCATCAATAATTAAGTAGAAAATGTTTGCCCTCCAATACTCAATTGCTCCGATATTAGCTCTAGAGCTTGTAGCGTCTATCAAACCTAGTCCTATAGTTATTTCGGTGACGGAATCAGCGAGCTTGCTTCTGACTTGTTTTTTTCGTTTTGATGGCTCCAAGTAATAGCTCCGAGTAGTAGCTCTAAGACGATCTTCCAAGTAATGGTTCCAAGAAGAGGCTACTCTGCAAAAATTAAGAACTCCAAGTAGTACTTCCAAGTAGTACCTCCGAGAAAGTCCTCCAAGTAGTGCCTCTAAGAAGAAGCTATTCTATGAAATTAAGACATTAAGAAGCCCCAAGCTCCAGGAAGCTCCTAGTTGCCCATAGCTTTTAAAAAAAGGGAAGTACCGTACCTACTGTACTAAAATACCACATGGTCACCATATTTATCAAAGTATCTAACAGTACATTTTCAGTTTAGCAATTGTTCGCATACGAGTCGGACGTGTTTCGGTGTTAGCGGTCGAGTGCAAATAAGTGTGTTCTAGGTGTGATTTTTACCTTAATAGGTATTTACCGTAATTTTGATAAATCGCGTGGTTTTCTATAGAAAATGAGTGGGGTGAACGGGGGAAAACCACCTGATCCTCCTCCCTTGAAACATAGTGAAGAAATACTAAATGAGGATACAGCTATGGACATTTCGACAGACCAGGAAGTTAAGGTTAATAAAAATAATTCTCAAATTGATCAAAACGCACATGTAAGTAACTCTATATTTTCTAATATTCCAAAAGAATCGCAAGGAACAAAGGAAAATTCCACTACAGTTAACGCAGATAAAGATCGAGCAATAAAAACTAGACCAGAGTTTTTATATGGCAAGTTCGATTTAGGTCCGTTTCACATTTATATCGAGAATAATTTAGTTGAATTTAAAGGTAAATTAAATGCTTTAAGAATTGGGGATATCATCCTTTCAACTTTTCCTGAATTAGACAACCTGATTGTGAGTATTGATTCCTCGATTGATTCTATTGGTCGAAATAGGATTAGAATTAAGTTAAAAGACTACAAATCTGCAAATTTTCTTATAAAGAATAAAAAATCTAACATATTCTTGAAAAATAGTTGAGAGTTATATATTCCAAAATTTATAATTCATAGACAGGGGGTAATTAGGGATATAGATATCGATTTTTCAGAAGATTACATCAAAAACAAAATTATGCAGTATGATATACACTGTAATTTCGAGGTATTTAGTGTTAAAAGAATAACTAGAAGGGTAGAAAAGTATACAAGTGAAAATGTTAAAATGCAAGAGTATGTTCCCACAAAATCATGTATAGTAACATTCAAGTCACAAATTTTGCCAAAGTATATAACCCCAGTATTGGCACTCTGAGGCGGCACGTTTGATCTTTAAAAGTGGAAATTTTAGTTGACACTTGACGTTTTCGGGATATGAAAAGTTTTCTTTACACGGACTTGGTATACATGGTTAGTTGCATTTTTGTTCTGCTGCTTTTCAAATTTGTGTGTATGAGGGAGATGTGAGATTCCTTTATAGACAACGGTTGAACAACTTAATTACTTTGAAGAAGAAAATAGATTAGATATCAGGGCAGTCTTCGCAAATGTAAGAAAGACAGAACCGTTTTAAATTTTTTTATATATGTGAAATATTACTTTTTGGTGAAAAGTTTAATTACTTTTAGTTCAAAATATAACGTTAGTTTGTCAAGGGAAATATATAAGACACAAGGTCAGAGTAACAAAATAGAGGTATTGCTTTATTTCTTAAGAATTACTCTAATCTAAAACTTTTCTAGTATATTGTATTGTTTTTTTAAAAATATATACTCAGTGACTTGTTTTTGTGAATGAGTTCAAGTATGGCAGACTAAAATCGTTATTTTTTATTATGAATTAATTTGAATTTATTTTAAAATGGGAACTATATGTATATGGTTTTCGTAGTTTTTACACTTGTAATAAAAATATCAAAGTTATGTATATTGGCCATTTACTACACACTACAAAATATATCACAGCCTGTTACTTTCTTCTTTGTAAAAGAGATTTAATCTTAAAACTATTGAGCATAGTTTTATACAAGATCTTAGGTATAAGGGTACAAGTATTTTTTATGACATAAAGGTACCGTAAAAATATTTTTTGTACTTTTTCAATATGATCAATTTGTGTCTTCCAAGGGCATCCATATTTGTGAAACATACTCAAGATGGAGTCTTACAAAGGCATTATATAATCTGATTTTGGTGGTAATCCTAATTTTTTTTTGTATTTCTGATTTAAAAACCTAATGCTTTTATTGCTTTTTTAGTTATGTGTAAAAAATGGTTATTGAACTTCAAACTAGACTGAAAGACAACTCCCAAATCCTTTACCTCATATTCACGATTTAATGTGACATCACAGGTCTTATTTCTAATGTAAAACATTAAGAGGCTATGGATCCTTACAACTTAAAATAGACGGATAAAAAGTGTTGATTTTTATTTACAACTATAATAAGAACCCATTAAAAAGATTAAGAGCAATAGAACATTTCAACAAATTCCTATAGGTACACATATTTTTGATACCTGATAATCAATAAATAATATATTTTTTGGAGTAGCAACAGGTTTATTAATACACAACTATTATTTTATTATAATATTTATAATTAACATAATAGTTGATATAAGTCCTTTAAAAATAATATATTTTGATTTAATTGTTGAATTTATACATGAGCAATTTTCTTTGTAGCGTTGTTTACATTTTGCAGAGAAATATTGTATTCTGCTTTTAGCTGATAAATCATGTACATGTAAATGGGTTGAATGTAGACAATGTTAATGTTTTTGCTACTACTGCTGGCTTGGAATGCTGGGCTGGGACAACAACAAAAAAAAAGGAAGCACAAAGCACTAGATGTTTTTATCACTTATACACGTACAATTTACAACCATTCAAGTAACTAGCATGTTGGAAATACTTCACGAAAACATATTAAACATAAATCAGTCGAAGGCAATGTATTTTCTTTTTATAACACACCTTTTAAGCTTCATTAGTTTTAGTACTCTATTTATTCCAATGTCCTCAAATAAAACGAGCAATAATAAGGATAAAACACACACTGAAGTGTATTTGATCTAAATCCACTATCAAAATAATAAATTTTCCGTTTTTAAGCTGTGAATGTATTACAAAAACTACTTCGATAAAATGTAAACAAAAGTTTATATTTGTGTACGTGTACGAAATATGGGTTGCCTGCGCATGGTAGCGAGTTTTTAACCGGATTTATGACAAGTGATAGGTTATATCCCGAAAACGTCAGCGCAGTGAAAGCTGCGCGTCTTTTTCCCGCCCAGGGAGTGTCATGGGCCTGATATAACTATTAACAAGGTCAGCAAGGACGTTGAACCATACAAACAAAAATTTCTTCTGTGCTATAATTGTCTTCGTTACGGACACTTGGGTAATCAGTGTAATAGTAAACCGAGATGTAATCAATGTCAAGATCATAATTCCAAAAACTGCGATAAAACCGATTTTAGTCCTATCTGCTTTAGCTGTCAGGGAAATCATTCGACTACAAACTTTTCTATATGCCCAGAATTTAAACGACAAAAAATAATTAAAGAAACAATGTGTTCATCCAATATGAATTTTTTTGATGCTAATAAACAGTTCTCTTTTTTCTTCATCTAATACTTCTCAAAGTTTCACACAGTTTTCACAAATATCTTCACAAAATTCTCAGAGCAACAATAACACTAATTTTGGCAATCATATTATGAACACTAGTTTAAATTCGAGTAATCCAAAATCTATTAAAAGGCCCAGGCCAAATAGTCCTGATCCTACAGAAGTTGCTAGAAAAGAAATAAATAAAAATTATTCTCTCCCTAATATACCGGGAGGACTTCTTATGAGTCCACACTATATTGAAAATATAAACATGACAAATCCACAATCCGATGATGTAGACTCTAATGAATTAAATGAAATTTTAGAATTGGTTCTTGCTATTGTAAACTCTATAAAACAATCCAAAAATTTTGATATGACAAAATCTGAAATTATTCAGTTAATTAGTAAACACTTTAAAAATGTAAATGTTTCATCAAATTCGCAGACCTAACGCAAAATACAAAAATTCTGCAATGGAACTGCCGTTCGGCAGTTTCTAACAATGAAAACTTAGAGTTTTTATTTTTTCACAACAAAATTAGTATCGCGCTACTATCAGAAACTTGGTTTAAACCAGGTCGTTATTACAATTTCAAAGGTTTTAATTGCTTTAGAACAAACCGTGCAGATGGTTACGGTGGTACAGCTATACTTATAAAAACACACTTGCATGTTGAAGAAATTCAATTTAATCAAAACTATCCATTTTCTTATAAATGCATCTCGCTTAAATCCTATCCATTCAAAAAACCTCTTAATATAATTTTCATTTACAATTTACCTAGGAATAATGTTCCGATGCAACAATGGATACATTTCTTTGAAAACATACCCAAACCGTTTATAGTAGGCGGAGACTTCAACGCACATAATATCTCATGGGGCTGTGAAATTGATGTTACATATGGAAAGAATCTGTTAAGCGCGATTGATCATTGTGAATTAATGATTTTAAATAATGGTTCACCTACGCTCACTACATCTAATACCCCCTCTGCTATTGATCTGACAATCTGCTCTCAGGGTGTAGAAAGTTTTTTGAAATGGAACGTTCTCGATGACCCACATGGATCCAACCACATACCCATCATCGTTACATTGAAATTCAATTACGCACTTAGATATATTCCTCAAAGTAAACATAAAATATGGAATCTTAAAAGAACCAACTGGGATTTATATTCATCCAAATTTGCAGTACTGGAGCCTCCACAAAATTATGAGGAATTAATTATAAACATAAATAAATCAACAGCTTCCGCAATTCCAAAATTTTCAAATACTAGTTTTAAGGGATTTGTCCCGAAACCCTGGTGGAATGAAAATTGTGAGATTGCCGCAAAAAATAGAAAAGAAGCATACATCCGATACAAATTAAACCCAACAGTTAACCACTTAATCGAATTCAAAAGACTGGATGCCGTAGCAAAACAAACATTCAAACAGAAGAAGAAGAAGCAAAAATGGACCGAATATTGTGAAAGTCTTAACTCTAAAACTCCTATCAAAGAAGTGTGGCAAAAGGTAAATAACTACAAAAATCGCAAACAAGCAAATAAACTTCCAGTTGACCCTGAAGCGAGCTGGCTAGAAGATTTTCATAAAAAAATTTCTCCTGTCTGGGTTCCAAACTCAATTTCCAAGAACAAGTTTTAACTGTACCAAGAAATGACTTTAATCTTGAAGATCCATTTCACTTGTGGGAACTAAACCGTGGACTTAAACAAAACAACAATAGTGCCCCAGGTAAAGACAATATATCGTACTCCATGATAAATAACTTGCCGCATGAACAGAATAAATCATTCCTTCAATTGCTAAACGATATATGGCAAAAAAAGATCGCCTATTCCTGATAGCTGGAGAGAATATATTATAATCCCAATAAAAAAAACCAGGAAAACCAGAAAAAAACATAAATTCTTATCATCCTATTTCACTAGCTTCCTGCGTCCTAAAAACGCTAGAAAGGCTTATCAAAAACAGACTGGAACAGTGGATCGAACATGAAAAGATTTTCCCCAATTCACAATATGGGTTTCGCAAAATTAGAGGTACTCAAGACGCTATTACAGAATTAGTAACACATGTACAACTGAATTTTACAAACAATGCTTCAACGGCAGCTATTTTTCTGGATATTTCCTCTGCATTTGATAATGTAAATTTGGAAATTCTTTACTTTAAGTTGATAAACATCGGAATACCTGAAACTCTAGCTTCATTTTTAAGATCATTACATGCAAATAGACTCACTTTAATGAAGATCAATGATGAACTATCTTCCCCACGACTTACCAATATAGGCTTACCACAAGGAAGCATTATGAGTCCACTCCTTTTTATATTGTATAATATAGATTTAGAAAATATTCTACCAAGCAATACCAAAATTATCCAGTATGCTGATGACGTTACCCT